CCGTCCGTCCGTCCGTCCGTCCGTCCGTCCGTCCGTCCGTCCGTCCGTCCGTCCGCCCGCCCGCCCCCCGCCCATCCATCCACCCATTCATCTATCTATCTATCTATCTATCTATCTATCTATCTATCTATCTATCTATCTATCTATCTATCTATCTATCTATCTATCTATCTATCTATCTATCTATCTATCTATCTATCTATCTATCTATCTGTATTTTTTCAGGCCCCTGTGGATGACGTTAGTGGACTTGCAGGAAGCCAGGAGGTGGTGAGCAGCAGCAGCCAGGTGTACGAGGATGTGCCGGGAGGTCAAGGTCAGGGGGACGCCGTGGGGAGACCGCTGGTTCACCTGTCTGCCTACAAGGCCACGGCAGGACAGGCCGTCTTTGTGGATGACATCACGCCAGCTCAGGGTACGTTCTAAGTACCGTTAACCTTCTAACCCTTTAACACTTTCATTTCTGAGACGTTTCCATTCATATGTGGACAGAACGGATAAAATGCTCATTTAAGAAATTTAAATAAAGCCGCAATGTCGCTCTTCTTATTAAAAAAAAGCAACGAAATGTAGGAGCAGACCAGCCCAGAGCACCCGCCAACTGCCAACTTTCACGATCTATAGCATGCTCTATGCTTTTTACAACTACTATAATACTGGCATTTTTGGTGAAGATTGTGAAGAGGAGCGACTGAAGATACCACACAGCATTTTATGATAAGAAAGAATGAATTAAGATGATATCAAATGAGATGGCATTTGATCGACACATTGCATGGATAACTTTGGAAAAAGATATGGGGGAAAAATTAGACTAGAATACGGAGTACTTTTCGGCCGACTTGAAATTCCTTAGCTTAACAAATTATATAAAAGGGCATGTCCCACACCTATCTCAGCTCACGTACATTGATGTGTGACCTGCTCCTGTCCTACACTGTAGATTTTGAGTCAGAACACAATATTAACTGCTTATGTGTTATTATTATATTTGTAAAGTGTTAAAGTCCATGTTCTGTTATCGAGGTTGGTCGCTATACAAGTTTAAATGTGATATGTTCATCATCATCATCATCATCATCATCATCATCATCATCATCATCATCATCATCATCATCATCATCCTCATCTCCTCCTCCTCCTCCTCCTCCTCCTCCTCCTCCTCCTCCTCCTCCTCCTCCTCCTCCTCCTCCTTCTTCTTCTTCTTCTTCTTCTCTTCAACATTTTCCCCTTTCCCCTTTCCTTCTGCCAGATGAGCTGTTTGCGGGGTTTGTCCTGAGCACCAGGGCTCACGCCAGGATCCTGTGCCTGGACGCGGCGAGCGCGCTGTGTGTGCCTGGTGTGGTGGACTTTGTGTCCAGGCCGGACGTGCCAGGTGACAACGTCTGGCTCAACAACGACGACTTAGTTTTCGCCGAGGACGAGGTGAGGGGCTCATACATAATGTGCAGTTTTACTGGAAAAATAAGAGAAAGAAACTGACCACAATCTTCCGCCTACGAACAGAACATATACAGCTGCTCTACTTTCACTTGAACAGAATAAAACCAGAACTTCCCCCAATGTGCCCTTTGTGTGACAAGGCATATGAGACAGTGCAAAATCTCTTTTTCGACTGTACAGCCCTAAATGACATCAGAGCTAAACTTCTCCCTTCTTTGACAACACACTCTAAGGAACATTACAGCAACTGCAGCAAATCTACACTTATCACTACATGGCATTGGACAGAAGGGCGAGAGCCCAGATGTTGCTTGATCGATAATAACAACAACAACAACAACAACTGGAAAAATAAAAAATGTGAATATTGGTACCAAGAAAAAAACAACTCTTTGCAAACACCCCAAGTCAATATTTTAAAGAATGTAATATTTTGATAATAACTGTTGTATTATGTATAAAGAAAATGCTGTTTTATTGGTAACAACACTATGTTGCTTTGTTTTTGTTTTTTTAGGTGGTTTTTTTTTGGTTTGGTTTTTTTTTTTTTTGGGGGGGGGGGTGTAGCTCTCCTAAAATATTGTGTGTGAAAAGTACGTCGTTTATCTGTAGTTGTTATTAATTTCATGCTGACGTTATTAGATCGTTATAACTGTTGGGTAACCAGTATAATATGCTTGTGTCGTCTGCCCCAGGTGACCTTTGAGGGTCAAGTCCTCGGTGTGATCGTCGCCGAGACCCCTCAGGCGGCCCAGGAAGCTGTCCAGTTGGTCAAGGTCGAGTACGAGGATCTGGAAACTGTTGTCACCATTAAGGTCAGGAGCTGGAAACTCTGGCTTAGTTTGCAACCTGGGAATTTGTGGAGTTTGAAAAATTACAAGATGTGAAATACATCTTGAAACACTTCTGGTTCCTTGCCTTCATTTTACTTTTCTTATCTTCGCGGCTCTAGTTTTATTGTTGCTACTTTTTCTCCCTCCATCTCTCTCCCCCCTCTTCCCCACTCGCAGCCTTTGCCTCTCTTTCTCTCTCTATCACACACAAATACTCTCTCTCTCTCTCTCTCTCTCTCTCTCTCTCTCTCTCTCTCTCTCTCTCTCTCTATTCCCCCCTCTCCTAATCCCTCTTCTTCTATCTCTAACTCTCTCTTCCACTCTCCCTCCCACTTTCTCTCCATCTTTCACTATGTATCGCTTCTGCTCTCTCTCCTCTTTTTTTTTCTCTCTCTCTCTCTCTCCCCTCTCTCTCTTTTCTCTCTCCATCTATTTCGCTCTCTCTCTAGCTCTCCGTTTCACTCTCACTCTTTATTTCTTGGGTATTTCTATTGTATCATCACCATCAACATCATTATCATTGTAAATAGCAGGAAATAAAGAAAGGGTGGAGACTTGTAGAATATTCAAATTTTATGCATCATCATCATTGTTTTTATGTTCTAGGAAGCCATTACCAAGGGCGCGTTCTACGCTTGTGACCAGGTCATCGAGTGCGGCGAAGTGGCTCAAGGCCTGGAGAGCTCGGACCAGGTTTTGGCGGGAGAAGTGTACATGGGCGCCCAGGAGCATCTGTACATGGAACCCCAGGCTTGTGTGGTGGTGCCGCGGGAAGGCGACGAGTTCCAGGTCGTTTGCGCGTCACAGGGTCCTGACATCACACAGGTCAGTCAGTACTCACGGCGCCTAGACTTGAGACTTTCTCACCTGGCTAGGTTTTGGATTATTGAAGGGAAACGAAGCAGGGGACGACCAAAGATGAACTGGGTACAGACTGTTATAGTGAAATTTCTGATATAAACTTTAAAGTGCACCGAACTTGCTGTTGAGCGGGAACTTGCGCTATACAAATGCTGTCTATTAATATTAGTAATTTTGAAACTAGGTCTAGTAGACGAGAAATGGAGTGACGTCCCCAATTCTTGTAGAACAGACTGTGGCTTAAAACATGTTATCTTTAATACATCTTCAAAAGAAACTTAATTAACAAAATAAGCAACAAATATCAACTCCTGTTTTTTATACAGACTTATTCTATATTTTAAAAATTATTATTATTTAAAATAATCATTATCAGCTGTAACCCCCCCCCCCCAATCCCCCCGTAAAAAGGAAGATTTAACTCCTGGTTTGAAGGCCACCTTCAATTTTTATTACTTTTTATAAAAGTC